TTAATATAAATACATACATAATTAAAACATATTTGTAGGTATCAATATTAAAGTGTTTTAAAATAATAATTAAAAGAAGAATATTTCGATTGTTAAGTATATGAGGGACTAAAATAAAAATAGGAACCCCTTAGAATTGAGCAATAGGGCTCCTGTGAGGATTTTTTTTACATCAAATAGAGACATTTGAGAGCATAACGTTGAAAAAAATTTTTAAACACCCTAATGTTATATGTCATATAATATGTTTATAGTTTTGTTGTTGGTGCTACCCTATTTGATGGGTAGCTTTTATAATTGTTTTTACTTCATAAGTACATAACTATTACAATAAATACATCAATGTATGTATCTACATTGTAGTAGTAACGTAATCCGCGTTTCTAAAATACATATACCTACTTACATAGTATTTGCATATCTTAACCAATTGCATTAATTTGTGTATATTTGCGTCAAATTTTATAAGCATTTATAATTATATTTTGTAGTATAATCGGTGGCACTTGTTGTCTTTTGTACTTTTAATACCACAATAATGTTTTCTATGGGCCTGTAATATACTAATGCCTATGTACATGTTCGGATAGTATAATTCCAGGTAAGAAAATCTCTTCACGTTAGATAGATGCTTTTTTAAGCATGTAAGGTAGGGTATAGATACTTAGTCTTACTTAGTCTTCGAGATATCCATTTCAGGAGTCTTCAGACAGACTATAATCGATACAATTGCTTTAATGCATACATATGTATATAGAAAAACTGTAACTTTAGCCCAGAAAGATGAAAATCTTGTTTTTAGAAAATAGCGCATTGCTACACGCAAACGTTTTGTCAACAAATTTTGTTTCGAAAACTTAAATAATTCATGTGTGACGTATAAGTGGCTGTACGCATTTCCAAAATCAGTCTCCTCAGGTGATGGCGGCCAGACAGATATTGTTGAATTAATTCGACAACATATTAGGAGAGAAAAAATAATTAATTGCTTAAAATGCAAATTAATAAAATAATTATTAAATTTCAGAATTTTTAGAAATTTTACATATAAATGAATTATTCGTGGAAAATGTTTAGCACATTATCAGCTAAAAACAATTCCGTTAAATACTTTGTACATTGTTTTGTACATTTTTTCGTCGAGCATATTTTTGCTTTTACACTAACAAAATGTATCGCGACGCACCCTTGCAAATAGCCACACGAAATTATCAACTGCTGTCAAAAATAAAAACATTGTAAGCAAAGAGAAGAAAACGAAAAATTTTTGTAAATTAAAAATCAAGAAATTTAAAATTTGTGCTATGTCCATAATTTCTTCAGCAGCTTCATTAAATAAAGCGTCAGTTAATTTTTCCCTAAAACATTTTTTCGGCATATATGGCAATTTGTTTAGATAAAATGGTTTTTCTTCACCGATCAGCTGTGAATTAATGGAATTTGCAAGTGTTGCACAGAAACTACAAAAGAAAGTTCATTGTTGATGGTAAAAATTTGCAATTGCATAACTTTGCAAACTCAGATGCACAAAATTCTGAATTGCCTTTATGTGTTCGCCCATCATCTAACAAAGTAGACGCAGTAACTGGCGATGCATCTGCTAAGAAAATTTTCTGTTGCGATATTACAAATGTCATGGTTCCACATAGTGTGTCCAAAACAAAAACGCCTTGTCCATTAACAACAATTATAAAAAACCATAGATATAGATATGCGTGGAAACAAAAATTACTGCACCCAGGCAGTTATGTTAATTTTTTTTTAAGTAAAAAAAATATTAAATGATTATTATATGCAAATTGAACACATGCTTTTGATTTGAAATATAATTTTTTATATAAGAATTGTTTTGACTTTCAATGATCTGTAACGATTGTCCCCAGTTTCTAAGCTACCTTCTTACCAATTTTGAGTCAAATCGGTTCAGCCGTTCTTGAGTTATAAATTGTGTGACAAAAACGACTTTTGTTTATTCAATTTACTTAGATAAAAAATCGAAGGTGATTTTGTAAAAATATCCATAACAGCACATAACGAAAAGTGTTTTCTCTTTGTATATGAGATAATACATAATATACTTAATTTAAAAACACAAAAATGTTGTATTAAGACACAATCGAAAATCAGGAGATTGAACAGTCTTGTCAATTGATTTATCATCAATGACACTTTTTTTTATCAAAAGAAAAATGAACAAGGGAACTATGATTTGTAAATACGCACCGAAACTAGTTATACAATTCTATTAGCACATATAGAGAGAGGGAATGTGGTAGCTAAGATAAAGAAAATTTTTTTCAAATAATTGGTGAATATACATGAACATGTCTATAGTATATATTAGAGTATGTAGTATATATACATATGTATATTATATTCATTGCAAGAGTTGAAAATATCTGTTTTCTTCTAGTAACGAGCTCAACGAGGTTGTCATGTCATTGATTATCATATTATTGCTGGGATGTGTAGAACTGCTAACAGCTTGCTGGACGTTTTGCTCGTAATCAGGCCTTTCATTGTCGTGATTGCTACTGCTATGTGTGCCGGAATCGTTAGTATGTAACCAGTTTTGGCAGTTCTGCACATATTCAAGTGTGCGTTGGTATGTATCGAAACGCATGCCGCCATTAGCGACCGATTCGTTGTTTAGAATATAGGGCACATTTTGTCCATTATTTCTACTACTGCCAAATAATTCAGTAGTTGATGCCGCAACTGTTGTTATTGTTGTGGTTGGAAAGTTGTTTATGAAATGTCCTACTGCTGGGCCTACCTGGATTTGATTGGTCGACATTGATTGCATGGTCATAGTGGTAGTCACAGCTGTTTGTGGTGTAGTGTTTGCCGCCATTATAACTTTAGTTGATGGGTTTTGTTGCCGTGATTCCAATATGGGTGACATTTGGGATTGACTGATATCGCCACATTGAATTTCGGCAACAGCTAATTTGCAGACTGGGTCACTCAATGCTGGTAAAGCTGGCCGTTGAATTTGCAACATTTGCTGATGTTGCTGAAACCGCCGCTCCGTACTAGGTACTCGGTAAAATATGTTATTATTTACACCCACAGCTCCAACTGCTGTAATCTGCTCATCGCAAGGTTTTGAAATACTGTCGGCTTTAGTTTCTGGTAAACTTGTCATTGACAAATCGACACAAATAGCTGTATTTTCTTGTTGTGACTTTGGCTGTTGTTGAAACTGAGAATGCTGTTGGTGCTGATAGTGGTGTGGTAGATTTGAATTGTGGTCTCTAGAATGAAGATTCAAATTCTCCATGCGGAAGTAGTTAATCGCCAAATGCTGTTCAAATTGCTGTTGCGGTTGCTGATGCAATTGGTCAGCTATCATGCTGTCATTTGTTGAATTATTATAATTACAATCATATTCCATATCGTGATGTTCTGCTACTTGTGAACTGGCGTGATAGATGTTGTATGTTGGATTAGGTCTTTGAGGACTACACATTTCATAATTAAGAGTGCGGGTGGAACTTTCTCTTGCCGTCACATAATAATTGGATAAAGGAGACATACTTTGACCCATTGTTGTTTGGTTTTGTGTTACGCAAGTTAAAGTGGGGCTGTTTGGATACATGGTGGGTGAAGCTGATGTGCACGCTGCTTTCACAACATCATTTTCTATAAATTGGGAAGTTTGTGCTTGTTTTGCCGTATCAGCAACGATCGATGAAGATTTTATTTCTTTTGGTTTCGTTTGTAATGGTTGTTGGCTTGGTGGCTCCTGTTGCCGAGTTGAATATGGTTTATCGGCTACTTGATTGAGATATATAAGCATTTCATCTGGTAATACCAATTTATTCTCGATAAGTTCATCTTCTTCAACTTCATCCAGATTAACTCTTTCGTTTGGATGATGTTCACGAGATGAAGCGATAGGTTTCTCTCCAACACAATTACTTGTTTTCAATTTATCTTGATTGTCTTCTATATCTAAGCTATTAGTTGTGCGAGTTATGGTGGGCATTTTGTATGGAACAAATGGAACGGAAGTCGGTTGGGGAGATGAACAATGATTGTTTTTTGTCCTTGTGGGCTCAGATTGACGACGCTTAAAATGTTCTTGAGAGGATTTTAACATTGAGCATGAAGTACAATGTTCTTCAATGAGTTGTGGAAATAGAAGGTTTGGTATGGAGCTACGACCACGGTCGCGAGGTGGAGTTTTGTGCTGATAATTTTTGTTTCGAAGACGCAAACGTGATGATATCAAATGCGAGGATGGTGGTGGTGGCAAACTGTGGTTGTTACCATTGTTTCCATTCAATTTAATTATATTATTGCACAGGGAACTATCAGTAGCGGTCGCTGAATTGCTTAACATCAAGTTATTTGATGGGCCCTTGTCAACAATGTTATTAATATTGCTGGTGGCGTTCGCGTTGGTGCCACCATTAGCATTATAATTACTACTGCAGCCCAAAACATTAGAAGTTATATTCGAAAGTTGGCTTGATCTTCGAGAACAGCCGGGCGATATAGGATCATAGAAAGAGCCTATGTTATATGTGGGTCTCATGGTAGATATGGAAGACACCTGAGAGGATAGGCTACTGCGCCTACTCTGCATACTGCAATAGTAAGTGCTAGCATTGGAATTCTGACTATCACGTCTTAAAAATTGCTGTTGTTGTAAGCGGGTCTGAAGCTCAGTTGTATGACTTCCTGTCATTTTGGATATGTAATCTGGGCTGGGTGGCGACATTGGGGAAGTGGTTGACTCCATTTTTAAATTATTTATTCTTTGATTTAATTCACCAATTCCTAAGCCAACATTTCGACGTGCTTCAGGAATGTTTGATAACATTACTGAACCCAAATTTATACCTTTTGCCTGTAATCGACTCCGAAGACGCTGCCGCGACATAGTTCCACCAAGAACCCCGCTTGCACCACCACCGCCTCCCGGGCCACTATTTATATTTCCGCAGCCACCATTTCCGGTGTTGACCGCACTACCAATGCTTACCATTGCGCGTAAAACATATGGCAAATCTTCAACTCCCAAATCTTCATCATACTCCCAACCCTCATCAAGGGGAGCTACAGAGCTAAATTGAAATTCGTCAGCTCTAAAACCGGTTCCTGAAGTAGAACTTTCGTTGTCACGAATATTTCCGGTCGAACGTAATTGTGACCTTTGTATCAATAGCTGATTACCTTCTGCCCCATTGGGGCTGTGATCTGGGGAATTAGCATCGGATTCCGATTTGATGCTTGGACTGGAAATGCTGTTTGTTTTGCCCGAATGCATGTCTTCGCTACGAGGACTTGAATCGATTTGAGGATGATTGTGATTATGAAGTTGCATATGTAAGGAAGATTTTAAACCATTTGATCCAATCGCACTGCTGGTAATACCATGCCCATCTATACCACCATTATCATCCTCGTTGGAAGACCCCTTGTGTTTTTTGCTTGCATAAAAGTCGGCACCATGCACTGTTTTCACGTGTTTACGTAAAGAGCTAGGGTCGGTATAGCGTTTGGTGCATCCTGGTGCTTTACATATATATGGTTTCTATTAAAAACAATATTATATAAATATTAGTATAAATAAATGCATAAAATAGGGAATTAGTGGGACAAATGAGATCATACTATTTTTAAAATTAATGTTATATTAATAGATATGTTATCTCACCTCATTGCTGTGTGTGCGATTTTGGTGCTTAGCGCGATCACTTGCATTGCTAAAGGCTTTACTGCAACCAGGGTACTCACAGGTATAAGGCTTCTCGCCTGTATGTGAACGTAAATGGGTTTTTAAATTCTCAAGACGGGAATATGCCTTGCAGCAACCCTCAAACTATAAAAAAACAGGTATGAGAACATGTACATATATAGTATGTTAATAAATAAATATAGTGTATGAGCGGATTTATCTGTCACAGTCTTTAACTCTAAAGTACATAATCATGCTACCAACAGACTAACTACCATAGATAACTTGATACGATACTCTTTGGTTTGAGAGCATTTTTTATAACATTTGCCAAGGATGCCGCTGCTGAAAAATATTAGCTTGGGTATTTAATAAATTATACAAAACACTAGATTAAACACTTTGCAAAAATGCATACATATATAAATGCTAAAATGCAAAATCATTAATTAATTTATATAAACATTTATTTTGCCAAAATATGTTCGCACAGTTCAATGAAATTTCATTTTACACTAATTTTGTCAAGTAATTATAGCGCTGCTCTTCTGGCATCCCGCCTTTTTCACTAACTGCTGCTTGAAGGCACCCGGATTGTGTTTTGTTGCCAGTTCAGAAAACAGATCAGGATGCCCTGCCAGCTGACAAGTGAGAGAGCAAGAAAAGAGATTCTGATCAAGTTATCTATGAAGCAGAATGTTTTGAAGCTTGGATGTAGAACAGTGGTCGGCATGAGAGGATCTGTCACTGTGTTGGTGAGCACGAAAAAAAAGTAGCCCAGTGAGAAATTGTAATTAAAATTAAGCAAAAATATATTTTTTTTCTTTAAAAGGGCATTTTCGTTCTTTTTCATCTAAAGAATTAATAGTATAATGTATTATCATTAAAAGATTTGGAACATAAAAGGCATTGCATGGCACAAAGGCATTTAGAATCATATAAAATATTTCTCGCAGGGCATATTTGGTTTTGCGCCATGGTCTTACGTGATGTTTATTCGTTGCTGGCTCGACAACGACCAGGGATAATGGGATGCCCAACTTATTCCAGTGTGAGAACGCCTCAAAATAAGCGTTTTTTATAACATTTTCCATTATGGCCAGATCGCAACAAATAAGAATTTTTGGACATATTAAATTAAAATACCCAACATTTATTACGATTGCAAATTATTATATATTGGACTTTTAATATGTAGCGAAAGTACTTAATTCCTTTTTATGATTTTATGGTAAATTAAAACAACTGACTTTCGATATTTCAATACTTAATAAGGTGAATTAGGCCTGTTAGTTCTAAATTAATAAATGTTTTTAATCATTTGTAATAGAAAATTAATTCCATTGTACACCAAATTACAAAACGTTTCATAATATATATTTAAATTTCGCATTTTCTTTGATTTTCATTATTTTAAATTTTTATTAGCCTTCTTGAACGGCGGCAATAAATTCCTCCGTTCACATATATTTTTGATATAATTTCAATCTGGCCGTTTCAGTCATTCCAATTGCAAAACGTCAAAACCTACTCAATCCAGTCAACTGTCAAAGTTCGGTAGGTTTTGACGTTTAGCAATTGGTCTCTCACTTCCAGTGAGAGAGGAGTTGGGGATCTCATTATCTCTGACAACGACTGAACGATAGAGCGTAAGCGTACGTGTGAAGTTAGTTTGCAAAATTTTGCTATGAAATGCCGACCACTGATGTAGAACTGTTAATAACAAACTTGTATCATTACATTTTATGCATCTACACTATCCATTCGTGTTTGTATATGATAATTATTTTATACATCTACCGAAACTTACCGTGCATTTATGCGGCTTTTCCCCCGTGTGCCGCCGCATATGTACAACTAACATATATTGGGCCTTAAAAGGCTTTTCGCCACGAGAACATTCATACCATCGGCAAACGAATGTTTTCTTATTGGTCTGTACGTGATCATTGTTAATATGTTTAACTAACTCTTCCTGCGTCACGAACTCTATACCACAATCACGCCAATGGCAGTTGGTTTCTATAAAATCACCTGGTTCGTCTTTTATGTCGGTAGTGTCGACAATGGGGCACTCGTAGTCACTGTGTGGTGTTGTTGTATTACACTGAACATTACTAGAGCAGGGTACCAGTGGACTCTTGATGATTTTGCACCGATGCAGGAGTGCGTTTGATGACGCACTATCCGCTTCAACTTGCGCTACACCACTTGATGTTGAAGTCGGCTGCTCTGGTTTAGTTTTATTTATTAATGCCACGTCTTCATAATACTATAAATAAGTAAAAAGTACGTATATATGAAGCTGTAAAAATAAATCGTTATTTATAAAAAACAAAAATTGTGTAAATAAGCACAGCTCAGGTACATGCATGTCTATGCCCTTACAAAACAATTTTATATTATATTTATAGGAAGCACACAAATGCTTACATTTTTTCTGCTTGAGATAGTGCCTGGATTTGTCGTATTTACTATGTCACTAACATTATTTTTATTGATTTGTGGCATTCCTCCAGCGTTGCTTGTGCTACCAACACCATTGTTTGTAACTGTTGCTGCGACAGCGGCTGCGGCAGCTGCTGCTGATTGCAGTGGGTGTATATGTCCCATAGCAAACATACTGGCAGCTGCAGCTTGATGTGATGGTATAGGATGCAGTAAACCAGCACTAGCGCGTATTAAATGAGCTTGTAGCTGTTGCAAATGAGGAACTGGACTGATAGTACCAGCTGATAAGTGACCGTACGATCCACTAGCGGTGCTGCTGGAGCGCGAACCATTCATAATTGTGGCCAATGAGTTTGGTGAAAATCGGATCATTGAATTTATATCGAAGGAGTCCGAATATGGCGAGGAGGAAAGGGCACGTTTCCGACTAATGCTGGCCCGTATACTTCCCGCTCGTGAATTAGTCAGTCGGGATCCATCGACGCTCAAATGAAAGTCGGTACTTGTTAAGGAATTGGCAGCTACTGCTGCAGCTGCCGCCGTTGCTGGATGTAGATCACCCAAGGAACTAACAGCACGGGCACCTAAATAATCACCAGAGTTGAAAGTTAGCCCTGTTAAATGAAATGTTGAAGGACAGCCTGTATATGGATCTGCAAAAGAACAAAGCAAGTATGATTACGAATGAAGCGGTAAGAATAGTTAGAACACTCTTTTATAAAATTTTTCAGTAAATAATTTCTAACTGAATACCTCTCCGAAATTCTAAAGTATCGTTATATTAAAGATGTGAAATAATTTTTAAGCTCGACAAGGTACTGAATACATTGAAATAATGACATTCTATAATTGTTTCTGAATTATCACACTTATTGTGTTTTTAAATATTATATGTATGTAGTTTTGAGTACGGGCGAATATTCTAAGCGAAATGTTGATTCTTCACCCTCTGCAAGGCTAAGAGAGATAGATAAACATTCATGATTTAACAGATTAATCTCAGCACTTTGAACTATTTATTCAATTGTTAATCTATAATTACAAATTCCATTTTTACAAAAAAAATTAAATAAGTTGTTCTCTGAGTTTAAAAAATACTTACCATGAAAAGATGCGGTAGGACTGGTACGTTGGAGTGAGTACAAATGTTCCATGTAGCTTGGAATTCTGTAGGCTGGATGAAAATCGTGCGGTTGAGCTGTAGGTGGTGGTACAGCACCGTGAGTGTTATGAAGTGGGTGCGAGTGAGGGTGTACAGCAGCAGCCATGTTCATAACGTCCAGAGACATCTGCAATTTGCTGCTCTCGGCAGGATTGCACTCATCCTCACCACTATTTGGATTATTGCAGCTGTTGATGCCATTCACGTTTGTGGAGTTAACTGAATTCGTAGCAGTTACAACTGAGGTCGGTAGTGGTGGAGGTGGGGGCAGCACAGTTGCTGCAGCTGCCACTGCAGCTACTCGTCGAGAAGCCAGAAATTGTAAATCTGAATAGGTACTGAAATACAAAGGAATTATGAAATGTTGTAACAAAATTGAAGCAAAGAAGTATACAAATATTTTAGTAGAATTGAATATAATTATGTAATAGTATATCGTTCGACTTTCGCTTATCAAGACTGAAACTTATTTTAAAAAGTTTCAATCATGAGCTGGTTTCTGTGTTGTTCTCGAAACTTAAAAATTAGCAGCATTCAATTCAAAGTCTAACGCAAGTCGCGTCAATAAATATTTGAAACTTTTATCATAAGAACACAGATGTATTGGATAACACTTTGTTTATATGTAGGTAAGTATGTATATTTGCCTAAGAACTTAGTCACCTTATCAGTATGACATTATTTAATCAGATCTAATCTGAATTTCGAACCGGATCTAACGATCGGCTTCTTCTCGGTCAACGTTTACATGTTGTAAACAATAGCAATAGGCCATAATAACTAAGTGCTTCAAATTATGGCAACCACATAAGGTGACAAATGGTAAAAAGTTTGCACCTACTTTAAAGGAAATTCTCAACCCTTCATACGACTCCAGTGCAAATCGGCATGGTATTATTCAAAGAAATTGAATTTGTAAAATAAAGCTAAATCTAGATCTATATATATATATATATTGCGAATTTTCTTTAAAGTAGGTGCAAACTTTTTACCATTATATGTATATATATATACTATATACTATATATATATATACTCGTAATATATTCGAACAGACATTCGATATACAATGTATTATATATTTAACATAAAAACAGAATGGCAAATAAATGCGTTTGATGCGGCCGTAAAATTCAAATCAGGCTCAGAATGTAAATACACTTGAAGTTCTTGCTATATGTACGTATGTACGTACATATATGGTCATGGTTACGAGTATTTTATCCATTGTTGAATTCACATCACTCTCTCATATATAGTATTGCGTTATTAGATGTGTGTATGTATGTATATATTTGTGTGTGCACATATTATAAACAAATTAGTAAAAACATTATTTTTTTTACACATATGTATATTTATATCATATATAAAATAAATTCAAATGCAATAATCAGCAGGAAATTTTAGCAAGTTTAAATTACGCCAATTTTTAATTATTCAATTTCATATTCCGGTTACGAATATGTTCGCTTACAATGAGTGTGGCTGCGCATTTAAATTCTTAATTACTTTTCAATAAGTTATTATATAAGTAGTAAATTTGTATATATATATATATAAACCTCAGGACACCGAGATTAAATTTTTTGTCTGAATTATATTAATCTAAGGGTGAATATTTCGTACAATAGGTTAATTTCATACAAAAACAAGAAAACACGTTAACTTCGGTTGAATTGAAGCTATACATGTAATACTCTTCACAAATACAAAAGATTCCGTACAATAATTTAACTTTGCTCGGCAATTACATATACGCTTTGGTAGTCTGATCTGAAAAATGTTTACGAAGATTGTACTATTATTATTAATGAAAAGGATAAAAAAAATTAAACCTTAAAAATACGAAAAGTATCACCTTTAACGACTAAGGTCTTCAGCTTCATAACTTATTAAATAAATCTACTAAACTAATTGTATTGCATTATCATACTTTAAAATAGGTGTTTAATTTCTATATAAATTTAATGAAGTCTTTAATGTTAGAAAGTGTTACACTTGTTAGCAATTCTCTTAAGTTATGGTTATTTAGTTCTAGTCTGACGTATTCTAATGATTGACAGTTTTCTACTAAATGTTGAACAGTCAGATTCTTCAAGCTGCAGTATGGGCAGACTGGCTGTAGGGTCTTTTCCAATAAATGTTTGTCAGTTAGTCTGGTGTGACCAAGTTGAAAGGGAGTGTACATAATGAATGCACTGTCTCTGGGTTATCGTTATATAATACATTGGACGACGTCGATAGGGATTTATGTTTTAGTAGTAGTGCGAGTATTTGGCTCAGCATTCTTTTTGGAGAATTGTCTTGGACAATAATCTATGCCAACCTTTGCAAAATATCTTATCAAATAAAACACTTTACATAGAAGAATATGATATTAATCGTTAATTTGTATGGTAGCTTTTCGACAAATGCACACATATATTCAAATCTATATCTTATATATGAAACGCCTTTTTTGTATGTATTTTTCGATGTGATAATTAAAAAAATTGAGAACGGTTTGGCGGAGAACCTTCCCGTTATAAATAAGAGCTCATACTTAGAGAGCCTTACTCAGAGGAAAAAAGAAACATCATTTTTTTTATCCACCCTAATGTACACTAGTCCTAATATTTCAAAATGAAATTTAAACAAGCAGATATACAAGAGTAAAAGCTTTGTTATTAGCAAATAACAAACCGTGATAAATGGTATACTGCATTCACATCTATGAACATTTATGTATATATGTACATACATATATGCCGTGAAGAATTCAGTGGGTAGCATTACGATTTTATTACCCACTCTAATGTACTTTACCGCTTTCGACTACACTTCATCCATCCAGTATCCAGCTCTCAACAAATGTAAAAACTTCATATAAAAAAAAAAACAAACGCTTAAGAAACGGTCAAGTAACTTTCCTGCGATAAATTTACTTGTGCTAGTATGCAGCTCTAAAGAAATCTAGTATTTATTTTTAATAAATTTTTTAATTAAATGCGAATATGGCAAACCCGGTTTTGCGAAGAAACATGAATTCAACAATTGTTTCTTGAAAGAAATTCAAAATAATCGTTAAGTTCATCCTAAGATTAGTTAAATTCATTATTATGAAGTAAATTTCTTTTTGAAATGTTGTATAAAACTTACCAATCATCAACTACATTCCTTAAATTATAATGACAAAATTTATGTTACAACACACGCACACACATACATATTACGCACAAAGTTTATTTTCTTTCGTTCATTCTCGCTTGCTCTTCTAATGTGGATCATTCCTAATGCGTAACCAGCTGTCGAAATTAATTAAGAAATAATTGCTTTGTACACAAACCTTAATATAATGGGATAACACTTTGCCCGAATAATACCTTCAGAATATGCCACCTTATGACTAAAAATTGTCCATATCCAACGAATTAGGATGAAATTGGACTAAACCTCACAGGGCCGGGCCGTTGGGCAATTGCCTAAAGAACAATAATTTTAGGGCGCATTTTAGATACTTCCTTTAAAATATTATATTTAATAAAAATTAATTTACAAAACTACTTCATTTATTTCATTTGTATATAATATACAAGTCATAGTTCTACATTTTCGTGTATTTTTTAGAATACGAAAATGTAAACATATACGGGTGTTATTACTTTCTTTTAAATAGTGCATCAAGTATATGTTGCTATGCATTGATTGCGAGTATTTCGTTGATTTGCTCACAAAATATCAAATGTTTATTCATGTACAATTGCGAGCATTGAAATAGTAGTGCCTATTGGCCAAGAGAGTTTTGCTTTAAATTTTGTTTCTTTTATGATATTACCGTCGATCATTATTTTAGTTATATTCTCTGAAGTATAACCGTCCTGTTATATACAACAATAAGTGTGAAGTACTTACCGTTACTTTTTTAAAGCCAATTTTATTGGGATATCTGTTTTTTTGAGCGAGCAATAGAATAGTAGTGAACGATGAGATGATTGCAAACAGATAATTTTTAATAAAAAAAAATTTATTTTATCAAACAAAAAGTAAGTTTCCAGATCTTTTATTAATTATTTAATGCAAAAAGCAAAAAAAAATATGACTTTGAACTTTTTTTTGGGCCGTGGGAATCACTGCAGTGACGAAAAACGAGAACGTATTCAATCTGTCATAAACAACGGTAAATCCTACAAGGGAGTGGCAAGAATTGTAGGGTGTTAAGCCACAATGACTCACAATGCAATTATTTATAAAAAAAGACGAAAAAAGGGGCGCAATATGGATTCTTTCCGAGAATTTTACACCCATAGTTTTAAGATGTGCCAAGACTCGACCTAGAATGTCAGCTATGGAGATTCGGAACGAACTGAACGTGGCCTACGGTATTCACACAGTGAGAAGACTTCTACATGAACATAATTTGTATGTCCGCAGTCCTCGATAAGTACCGTTATTAAAAAAAATCTTATAGCAAGTTGTCTTAAATTTGTCAAAGGACCGATTGAGAATTTGCCGATATCTAAGACGCTCCCCTAGTAGAGAGTACGACCCCAGATTCAGCAGTGGTGGTTTCGGGTCAATGGAATTGATGTCATGGATAGGTCAGCTCAATCGCCTGGCCTCCATCCTATTGAAAACCGTTGGGCAGACGTCAAGAAAGCCGTGTGGAAGGATAAACCCAAAAACAACAACGAGTTGTGCACCGTAGTGCAGCAATCATGGCAGAGCATACCACCGGAAATATGCCACAGTCTCGTAGATTGTCTGAAGAAGCGATGAAGTGCAGTTATCAAAAATCATGATCATGCTACCAAGTACTAAGATCTCCTATATAAAAAACTTGCAAAAGTCTTTCAGTACTTCTTTTTTTGATTTTTGGTACTTTACTACTATTTTATTGCTCCCAACAAATTTCATACATAAACACATCTTTGTAAATAAACATATCTTGTACATATTCAAATCTAAATATTTTGAGTAATAAACATAGCCTGGAAAATAGGAAAATATGATACACTTTTGCATTTCAATGGATGATAAAATTGTTTGGCGTTTTACATAACTCACAGATATGTAAAGCTCTAACACCCACTACTATTTCACTGCTCGCAGCTGTATGTATGTAATTCCGACGGTACATGTAAGAAATGCACATGTTCGCTTAAGAAAACAGTAAAGACAGTTCAATTATGAAGGGGAAGATGAACCAATTCACGATGTTAAGCAAAAAATTATCGAAATATTTTTGTACACAATTTGTATAAAAAATTAGTTTCACTGTATGAAATCAGAAAAATTACTAAAAAAAACGAATCAATAGATATCGTTGTAAATTTGTTTACAGCAATGTGTGAAGAAT